TTTTGGCTATTATGAACGCAATGAGCACGTTTGGCCGCATTGGTGCGGCATGGGCCAGCGACCAGTATGTTTCCCCGTTCTCCTTCAGTCTGAAAACGACTAACAGCAGACTAGTATTGGTGGCGTTCAAGTCCACACCATGGTCGCCTCTGTGTGCTCCCTCCTCGTTCTCATCCTCTGGTCTCTGACCACGACGTTCGCCGGCGCCATGTGCTTCATCACCTTCTTCGGCTTCTTCAGCGGCGCGCTGATCGGCCTCCCGCCCGCCAGCATGGCATACATCCTCGGCAAGTCGAAGGCGCGGCAAGCCAAGCTCGGCCAGTGGACCGGCATGATGTACACGGCGGCGGCCATCCCGTCGCTCGTCGGCCCCATCGTCGCCGGCCACCTCGTCAGCGAGTTCAAGAACTACATAACCGTGCAGATTTGGAGCGGCAGCTGTCTGGCCTGTGCCGCCGCCTGCATGGGCGTCACGTGGTGGTATAAGAGCCAGGAGCTGGCGGCCGGCGGTCCCCCCACCACTATTGACGAGCCTGTCATCCCGCTCGAGAGGGTCGGCAGCCAGGCCTCGTGGGTGACGCGCGGCTACGACACCGACCGTCCCCAGGGCGACGAGGCGAAGGAGGAGGTGTACGGCAAGAACTAGACGCCTGTCTCCCTTGATCGATAGCTGCCTCGTCGCTCCCGGCGAGCGACGATGGCACTCCGACAGGTGTTCCTTCCGACGACTTGTTTGCCGCTTGTCTTTGTACTATTGCCTGGCTTCCTGCTGGCTGCGCACTACCTCGGCCAGCTCGAGCGCCCAGGCGCACATGATCGCTACTCCACGGTCGCCCGTTTTCTTCCTTGGCTTCAATATTGTCTCGTCTCTCGTATTGTCTATCTATCCCTTGTGGGAAGCGGAACGATCACTCGACACGCATACACAATGGGTAACGAGGAACAACCAAAAGATCTTTTTCTGCGTCTTTCTTCTTCTTCCTTCTCACTTCTTTCTTCCCATTTTCCCGTCTTTGCATCCCACACAAGCCAGGCGTTCAGCTGATGACTCAAAAAATGGTCTGTTGTTGCTGCTGTTGTTGATTCGGGTTCTAGAATCCAGTCTACACGCATACGCACACATTCTGTCTCTCTTGTCAACGTCATGCATGAATGGAGGCGAAGCAGCCTTTGGGGCAGGGGAAATGCATCGGCTTGCATTGCCGCGACATGTACGTATCGGCGTGGTTGTCGGATACGACAGACACTGCCGAATTCCTCTGGGGGGGTTCCGTCTCTGGCGTTCCATCCTGCTTTTTTGTTTGTCCACTTGGTTCACGGCGCTGCTGGTGTTTTGGTCGGCCGATCCCGTCGGTCAATGTTGTTTGGTTGGGTCGGAATTGGTCGGTCGGTCGGTAGTTGGCGGCGTTCCTGCTGTTTTTCCTTCACGTCTGGCTAACGAGTCTCCTTGTTTTCCACGACTACACTGCCGCGGACGCTGGTTCGGGCGTCTGTGGCTGCTCGTCGCGTTGTCGATCGATGTCGTGAGGCGTCTCCCCGTTGTCCATGACACCACGTCGACTTCTGCGCGCTTGCTTGTTTGGACGAATCGATGCGTGCTGCCGCTGCTGCTGCTGCTGTTGCGTTTATCATAGATGATGATGCTGCGATGCGATATATCGGCTCAGGGACGCGGAAAGGGATGGCATATACCACTACAGTACTACTATTACGAGTACAGATGGATACTGGCTGCGAAGAAGGAATCGAGAGAATTGTCACTTTTTGCCATTGGTGTTTGTCGATTGGCTTGGTTGAATATGGTGCCTTGTGATGATGGCACTGTTGACGCTAGGTCGTCGCTATCTCTTGCAATCTCCCACATCAGCACTTATTCCAATCTGCTGCTACCGCCGATAGTGGTATCGCCGCCACCCCGTCACGTCGCACAAGTGAGTTCGGGGGCAGGTTCGCAGCTCATGACTTGCATGTACACAGCCAGCCAGGCACCCTCGTCGCATTTCACCTACACACATACATGCATACCTAGCCAGCCAGCTGGCTGGCAAGCTTAGTCCGTCCGGTCGGCCCTCGCTGTCAATAGGCAGCGCTAACGTTTCAATAAAATGCCCCTCCACTCCTCTCCTCTCCTCCGCTCTCCACTCCTCTCTGCGGCCCCGCCCACGCGCGTCTATCCACACATACACACATGCGTACGTACGCATCCCTTGCTGCGTGCTCGACCGCTCTCCGAGTGGCTCTCCCACATTCCCTTGTCGGCGTCCCCGCCCAGGTGGGTGGCTGGCGCGCTACGTCGCCCAGGAATAGATAGTCTGCTTAGCCACCCACGCGCGCACGCGCGCCTATGCATGTACTGTATACACTGCGCCTCGATCAGTGGGCGCGTGTGTCTGGCCCGCAGCAGTAACCGTCAAATGCATCTGCGACGACAAGACCACCGCAACGCCCACCCCTCCTTCCTCCTCTTGATTGTATCCCTTCCTCAACAGAAAAAGAATAGGAGGTGCGGGACGCCGCCCTACCATGCGCTGCTGCCGCCACACGTGTCGTTGTCGGTGGATGGCGTTCTTCCGTACTGCTATGTCGTGTCATTTGTTTCATGCCCCTCTCTCTATTTTTACTCCATCTGATGCTGAAGCACTGCGGCTTGCGTCAGCGAATTCGTTCTTTTCTGCTTTCTGTTCACGCTGTTGTTGCTCGCTGTCGCTGGAAATGTATCGCACGCCTTCTGTCTATCCGGCATGGATGCATCTATCCATCCATCCATCCATCCTCAGCGACGATCGAATCCGCAGGGAGAGGCAGAGGTCGAGAAGTATGCGCTCTTGGCAGTACATACACACACACGACCTGCATTCGTTTCCCCGTTCGTCGTCCGCCGCCGCCGCCGCCGCCGCCGCTGCTGCTGCTGTTGCTGCTGGAGAGTAAGGGACAATGCAGAGACACAGCCAGCCAGCCAGCCAGCCAGTCAAGGCACCGTACCTATACTCACCCTACATGTAGGTCTATACTGGGCACGCCATCGACCAACCCTCAGGGACATACATACATGACATGCCACGCCTTGCCTGTCTCGCCGCCCAACTCACACACAGACGCCCGACGCATCCGTCGGTAAGGCAGGTGACCGCTCCGCCCCGCTCGCTCGCTAGCCTGCGTGCCTAGCCTGGCGGCGGAGACACAGACAGCCTTGACTGTGGTGAGTGGACCCGTGGGCTGTAGCTGAGACGGCTGTCCGCTTTTCTTTTTGCTTGGGTGGCGGCGCGAGGTGTTCGCCAACGCCGCCGCCGCCGCTGCTGCCAAGGTGGATGTGAGGTTTGCCGTGTTGATGCGCGTTTTCCGGGTCGCTTTTCCGTTGCTGCTGTTTTCCGCTGGATGGATGGTGAGGGGGTTGTGTGGGTAAGTTGATGGGGTACATAGAGGTACCTGTACCTGATCTCGATGATGACGGCGTGAGGGAAACGGAGTGCATACTTGCCTTTAGTTTCCCGCCCTCATCTATGGTCAGTTCTTTCTGGCTCGCCGGCATTCAAAAGTAGCCCAACAGCTACATATTGCTGCTGCGCTGCACTGCCTCCTCCTCTGTAGCTCTTTTGCGCCATCATCTTCTCTCAGCCTCCACTTTCGCAATCCAGTGTAATCGTTTGTTTTCGCCATCATCACATTCTACTCACCTTTCCAACCCCGCTTCCATCTGCAGCGCTGCACCAGCCGTGTCCATAAGCTCTCCTCCTCTTCCCTCCCGCAGACTCCCCACGACATCACCAGCCAAGCATGCGTGCACTCTCCTCACCACACCATACCCAGTCCACCCACCCTCTCAGCCCCCCCATCCTCCGCGTGAAAGACCCTCGGCACATACCGAACCGCACCACCATGCCAACTCATCGTCCGATCCGGCGTCGCCTTGGCCAAGACGCATCGGCGGCAGCCGGGCAGTTCGCCGGCGGCCGCGGGCGCCGCCTCGGCAACGCTCATGACAGGAGGAGAGGCCTGAAGTTCGAGTGAATGGGTGAGGGCGTGGTGGTCCAGCTTCGTCTCCGCTTCTCGGTGCCAGACTACTCTACTGCGGTACGGCGTGGTGCTGATCTCGATGGTGGGCGCCTGAGGGAGGAGGTATCGCATCGCTGGCCCATGATGAGCGTTGCGCGGGAGGCGGATATCAGGTAGAGCCGAGGGAGCTCAGGTGTGGATGTTGATCACTCCCGCGTGTCAACCCAGACGGCTGGATTAGGCGGATTGAGCGGAAGACTTGGTGGCATTTTCAGTCATGGTAAGGTCAAACGGGTCGTTTGCGCTTTCGTTTTGCTGAGACAGACGACCTCGCCAAACATGATCGCTCGGCCGTCCAGCGCCGACGCGAGCGATGCTTTTCCCTCCCAAACACTTCGTTCCAGACCAGCACAATTCAAACCCAACGGCATCGCTCTCTGTCTCTGCAGTAGGCACTCTAACTCAACACCAATCCAACTCATTAGAGGGGCCATCATCGTTTTGCATCAAAGCCAATCGACGCAGCCGAGTCTCACGTCTGCATGTGCAACCAGCGCGAGTGTTTGGCCCGTGGTAGAGTCGTGTGTTGTCCGTGTAGCGGGAAGAGTGCTCCGGTCCGGCAACGGTGGCAGCAGCAGGGATGTGTGCGGGCAGGGATATGCTGGGTTGAGGCTGGGTGGGCGGGAAGCGCCGTTCGGCTGCACGGGGTGATGGGGTGGGGTAAGGGGGTGTCGTGGGGGTTGCTGCGAGGGGTCGTTTGCTAATTCGGCCAGGAAACTTCGGATTCGAGGATGAGGAGCATGAATCGACGGCACTTGTGGAAGTGCATCGAAAACAGTCCGCACTTGCGCGCGAGGTCAGCCGGGCGAGCACGCCGAAAATCTTTGAAGTCCTGGCTGGCCTGTCATCCCCATCTGCTCTTCACAGCGGCCACATCATCTGCAACCCCCATTTTGCCCTCAAAATCAAGTAGCAATAATTCCACAACCTCTGTCACACTTTTCGCTGGTCGATTGGTCTAGTTGGTCATGACGTGGGTAAGTTTCTCCACGCCAAACGAAAAATCTGTTCCGGAGGTTGTCTCTAACGGTTCCACTATAGGTCTCATAGATTGTGCTATGATCACCTCGCTGAGGTGAGCGATCCCAAGGTCACCAGTTCGATCCTGGTATCGACCATGATCTTTTGCTGTTTTGCTTCTCTGCTGTCGGGGACGGGAATGGGAATAAGGCGGTTATGGTCGGGCCGTTTTGGCGCGGCGGGATGAGCGAATGAGAGGGGGCGAGAACGGGGGGTTGTGTTCTACTCTGTACTTCATCTCTTTTCTTTTGGTCTTTGAACACGTTTTGAAGCTTGTTTGCTCCCGTCTCTTTCTTTCGACAGACCAGGACCTCGGATCCCGGAATCGATACACTCGGAGGGAGCTTGACGGGTTGAGAACGACATTCGGGCCGCGAACCTGTCCTAACCAACAGAACAGCTAAACAGCATCCAAAGCCAAAAAGAATAGAGACCCTCACTGCAAAGGAAGCCAGCGAGGCAGACTCTCCACCCGGAGAACGCGCCACGGCGAAGTTCTGCCAAAGTGACGCTGAGGAGAACATACAGCGCCACTCAGCCACTACACATCCACCAACAAAGCCACAACGCAGTGCAGCTCAGAAAGCCACCAACACTGCTACAAAAACCAACAGGACGCAACACAAGCATCCCAAACGCCGTCCTCCCACCCGAAACAGCAACGAACCCCTTACACGCTAACCACACACGGTAACCAAAAGATTCTGGCATCCACCGGTCCGTGCGCGCCCCATCGTAAAAAGCTGCGAAAAATTTGTCCACTAGCTGACGCACACGCGTGGACGATGCATGGGCGGGTGGGGAATCAGGGGGCAAAAGGATACGGGATGCGAGACTTGAACTCGCGACCTTCAGTGCTCTTACGAGCTCCAAATGCTTGGAGACTCGATGTTAGACTGACGTGATAAACCAACTACACCAACCCCGCTTGATGATGGAATTACAAGGGGTGGTTTGGATTATGTGCAGGCAGAAAGGGGGAAGAATTTAGAGGCTTGGGATAATGTGACGCGATTTTGGGGCCGAGATGAGTGGTTGGGGGAGTCGGTAGCAATCGAGCAGTAGCATGAGAAGCACCTGCTGTCCAGAGTTGCCAGTGCAGCGGGACATTGACTGAAATGGGGCCAGAAAGGGGCGGAGACGGGGAAGTGAATCGCGGAACACTGGGGACCCAAGTTGCTTAAATTGAGCTTTAGAGTCGACCCCACGGCGTTTGACGGTCCTGATGAGACTCGGAAAGAAGTGACGGAACTGAAAAGAGCGTAAGAACAGTCCTGGGAAGCATGAGAACTATGCTCAGACAAAGGCATGATGTAAAGATGTGCTGGGCAACAGGATAGGATATACAACACCTGTTGGACCCTTACAGAGTCTTGATGCTTCTCTTGCATGCTCTGAAGCCTAAAAAGCTTCGAACCGAAGGAAATAGACGTTTGATAGACAAAGAGGCGGCGGTGGTCAAACTGCCGGCCAACATGAAGCTGATGCACAACGGAAACCACGTAAAAAAACGAACCAAACTGGACGAAGCAGAAAGAAGCAGAGCAGGAAAAAGAGAGCGTGCAATCAAACCCACCGGCGCAATTTGTCTAGTCCGTCCGCTCATGCACCTCGCACCTCGCACCTCGCAACCGCATCGCCAACCCTCACACTCACACTTACCTTGATGTCCCAAAGTCGCAAATTTAGCCGCCACAGTGGATATGCCGTTCGTGTTCAGGCACCCGGCGCACAGACGCCGACCCAAAGTGGTAACCCGACGAGCGACGCATCCGTCCGCAGAGAATACGGCGACAATACGAGAGCCAAGAGGCGTCTCGAAGCGCAAAGCGTCTAGTGGGTCAAATACCTGAGTATGCATTACATGTGTAAATGTCGTGCAGTGGATGATGCACTGATGGAGCATCCTGTGTGGATAGCTGAGTTGGGGTTTGACGTGTAGAGAAAGGGCACTCACTCATCTTCATATCACCATCTTGCGGCTCTGCATGACTTCACCAAGAGCGCGCTCGCGACTTTCAGCCGCCGTGATTGCGATCATCGTCAGCAGCGTCAATCGGTGCGGTGTCGGCTTGGCCTGCAGCGAGCTGGGCTGGACGAAGCTTGGCTGACTCGAGCGAGCGTTGTTCGTCCGCCATCGGCTTTCAACGACGCGAAGAACAGGCTGCAAATGCCAGAAAGGATGGATTTGGTGGGAGTGATGGAAAAGATGATGCAAGGGTGCAGGAGTGCGACGTGTGGGAATGTGGACGGGCAATGTGGGGTCTTGCCTGCGCGCGAGACAACAATGGCCCGAGTTGCTTCGGCAGTAAAAACACAGCGACGGCGATGAGGAGCGTAGTGGGGTGAAAGGAAGCGAGAGATGGGACTATGTGGGTTGCCCATGGCGTGACGGGCGCTTGGCAAGGGGCCAGGATGGATGAGGTGCGTTGAGGCTGAAGTTACGCGGTGATGAATGTGAGGAAGACCATTTCAAACCGACACAGGATGGAGAGCGTCGTCTTTGATTATTTAGAGACCTGGCAAGGCTGGACATAGCCGGTGCGAGTCAATCAGACGGAATGGTGTTGATCATACTGGGTTGAAGGATAAGGGGTTTGACAGATATGGTCGTGTCTCGTCGTCACTCGGACTGATCTTGCAAGGGACCTGAAGTCCATCCAGGTCTGCCTGGTAAAGCCCCGAAAGCCGGCACAGGGACTTGGGGTGGGGAGGTTCTCCGGCCAGCACGGGTCGTGGAAGATACCATATCTTCGTCAACCTTGTCAAGCATCTCGACGCCTGCAGTCCACAGCTACCACAGATACATCGATAACACGAGATGCAATCTCACCATAATCCAGTCTGACGTCTGTTGCTCCTTTGCCTCTGGCAGGAGACCACTTGCACGTTATGCTTGGGGACCGGAGCAAAGAAGACGGCATGCTCCGCGCGGAAAAGGCAACAATGCCTCAGGCGCACGGCCGCACGTGGGTATTTCTCTGACCGCAGGATCTTACCCCACGGGGCGAAAGTACCGGCACGGCGGTTAGAGTGCACAGAAAGTACCGAGATTCTGTGCAAAAAGGGGGCCTTGTCAGCCGGGGCGGCGCTCCAGGCGACAACGAGAAAGTGGAGGCATTTCGCCCTGAAGCCGGGAATTTGGCCGCGCAAGGAAACAAGCCATGCAGTGTGAGCAAAGAGGAAAGTGGGAGACGTGTGTGGTGGAGAAGTGATGAAAAGCAGGGTGTGCCGTTTGGATAGGCACATACATATTTGTGGGGAAGACTGGGTCTCGCAGGGTGCAGTCCGGGGTGCATGCGTCGAGCCCATGCGTTGACGCAGCACTGCAGAATCGCGCCCAAACAACGACACCTCCCATCATTGACGCTGCTTGACTCGCCGACCGCTGACGCACCCACTCGCCGAGCACCGCATTCTGCCAGGCTAAGCATCCCTATTTCGAGTCTCTGGTCCGTGCCGATCGTCGCCAAGCTGCTGTCTATCTGAGAGGGCGACTTGGCCCGACGGCTCTCTGTCTGAAGACATTCGTATCGCTATTGACCAATTTGCACTGCCTTCCCGCGTCGGATCACGCGTGCTCGTGTATCATGGACATGGGGCAGGAAGAGGAGAAAGCCGACGATCACGGCCAGGCGTATAAAAGCAGGCTGGGCTCAATCGACGCCAAAACATCGACATCCAGAGGATTCTGGCAAAACGTCGCGCCGCAGCAGCCCCCAAGGACCAATTGCAGCAGACAGCTGTTGCTCGCAGTTGTCCTCTTCCTCCTCGCCATCACCATGTGGTCCAAATACGGTGCGTTTGCGCTCGCGGTCCAGCAAGCTTTTGCTGTGCCGACGCGCAGGGCCGATGCGCCCACTGCCGTGACTAAGAACGGCACGTACGTGGGCGTCCACTCGGCGCAGTACAACCAGGACTTCTTCCTGGGTATGCCGTATGCGCAGCCGCCTGTGGGAGACTTGCGCTTCCGCGTGTCCCAGTCACTGAACAGCTCGTGGAGTGAGCCGCGGACGGCCACCGAGTACTCTAACGAGTGCGTCGGATACGGGGTACGTTGAACTAAGATCCAATTAAGCTTATGAGCTTATATCAGAGCTGATTGGGGAGCAAGGAAAGCTAACTCGTCAATTGCCAATCACAGTCCGACCAGTTCCCCTACACCGTCAGCGAAGACTGCCTGTACCTCAACGTGGTGCGGCCGTCGGGCTACGAGAACGCGTCGCTGCCCGTCGCCTTCTGGATCCACGGCGGCGGCTTCAACCAGGGCGGCGGCATCGACCAGCGCTACAACCTGTCGTTCATCGTGCAGCACGCGGCCGACATTGGCAAGCCCTTCATCGGCGTCTCGACCAACTACCGCCTTTCGGCCTGGGGCTTCCTGAACGGCGAGGAGGTGCAGGAGTCGGGCCAGACCAATCTTGGTCTGCGTGACCAGCGCCTCGCCCTGCACTGGGTCCAGGAGAACATTGCTGGCTTTGGTGGTATGTCATCATCTGACCCCCTGACGACCCCCTGATATTGAAACACTGGCTCACCACGCAACCCTCCCCCAGGCGACGCCAGCAAAGTCACCATCTTCGGCGAGTCGGCCGGCGCCGCCAGCGTCGGCGCGCACCTCGTCGCCTACAACGGCCGCGACGACTCGCTCTTCCGCGGCGCGATCGCGCAGTCCGGCGGGCCCATCCACTACGGCCGGCTCAACACGTCGTCGGACAACAACGCCAAGTACCAGTCGTTCATCAGCAGCACGCCGTGCAGCAACGCGACGGCGCCGCTGGCGTGCCTGCGCACGCTCGACTACGCGACGCTCAACGCGGTCATCAACAGCACGAGCTTCACGTCGTGGGGGCTGGCCATCGACGGCGACATCATCGCGGGCAAGACGTCGCAGCAGGTGGCGCGCGGCGACTACGTCCACGTGCCGCTCGTCATCGGCGCCAACAGCGACGAGGGCACCGCTTTTAGCGCGCAGGGCATCAACACCAACGCCGACTTCGAGCGCGTCCTGCTCACCTCGGGCGTCGCCACCAACCAGACCGCCGCCCTCCTCGAATACTACCCCGACGACCCGGCCGTCGGCATCCCCGGCTCACCA